CATGCTTTAAGGTGGGTGGAGTTCAGCTCCCAGAATTCCCCAGCCAGCATGCTTTAAGAGGGGTGGACTTCCACTCCCAGAATCCCCCAGGCAACCTGTTTTAAGAGGGGTGGACTTCCGCTCCCAGAATCCCCCAGCCTGCTTTAAGAGGAGTGTACTTCCATTCCCATAATCCCCCAGCCAGCATGCTTTAAGGTGGGTGGAGTTCAGCTCCCAGAATTCCCCAGCCAGCATGCTTTAAGAGGGGTGGGCTTCCACTCCCAGGATTCCCCAGGCTGCATGCTTTAAGATGGGTGGACTTCCACTCCCATAATCCCCCAGCCAGCATGCTTTAAGGTGGGTGGAGTTCAGCTCCCAGAATTCCCCAGCCAGCATGCTTTAAGAGGGTTGGGCTTCCACTCCCAGAATCCCCCAGCCAGCACACTCTAAAAGGGGTGGACTTCCACTCCACTGAATCATTTGCCACCTTCCCAAAAAGCAAAATCAGTGGGGGAAGCTGGACTCACTTAACGACTGTATGACTTACTTAACAACTGCAGTGATTCGTCTGGCAGCCATGACAAGAAAGGTCATCAACCTGTTCACGACTCCCTTAACCGTTGCCTTGCTTAGGGACAGAAATTCTTCCCCATATTGTGGTCATAAGTTGAGGTCCACCTTCACTTGGTCTAAGTCTCACTAGGCAAATGTCTCATTTAGCAACAGAAATTTTGGGCTCAGTTGTGGCCATAAGGTGGAGGTCTACCTTTTCCAAACGGCCATCTTGCTGACCATAACAATAACAGAGTTGGAAGGGGCCTTGGAGATCATCTAGTCCAACCCCCTGCTCAGGCAGGAAGCCCTACACCATTCCAGACAGGTGGTTGTCCCGTCTCTTCTTAAAAACTTCCAGTGTGTCCAGCTTCCTCAGAAGCATAACCAAATATTTTGGCACCCTGGTACACAAACACACACACACACACACACACACACAATCACACAAAGAAAGCTTTGCTCTATTCCGCTTGCTGGTTTGTTTGGTGTCATCCGTGCAAGTCAAAAGGCTGGCTGGATCCAATGGAGCAAAAACCTTTTTTTTTTTTTTTTTAACTTTGGCATTTCTTTCTTGGTGTGTGTCTCCCTTCTGCCTTTGTCGGACTAAGCCCCCTTTGGCTCGCGAGTGCGAATCACGCCACAATGCACTAACCTGCACATTTTCCTGGAGCCTCTTTTCTTTGCTATGGATATGTGACCTTTCCCAGTCTCTGGATCAGAACATCTTGTTCCTTATGCATCGGCAGAGAAAATTTAGCAGTTTTAACTTGCCTGGTGCCTGCCGTATAAAACGGTTAATACCAAGGTGCCTTTTGACAGCTGGCCTGCTGCCCCTGCCTCAATTAATAGTAATAATAATAATAATTAATAATAATAAATAATAAAGTTGGAAGGGAACTTGGAGATCATCTAGTCCAACCCCCTGCTCAGGCAGGAAACACTATACCATTTCGGACAAATGGCTGTCCAGTCTCTTCTTAAAAACTTCCAATGTTGGAGCATTCACCACTTCTGGTGGCAAGCAGTTCCACTGGTTAATTGTTCTCACTGTCAGGAAGTTTCTCCTTAGTTCCAGGTTGCTTCTCTCCTTGATTAGTTTCCACCCGTTGCTTCTTCAACGTTCTTCATCTCAGCAAGTCTGGGGGACACAAGGGTAAGGTGGTTAGGTCAGGGTTCTTAAAGTCAGGAGAACTCAAGTAACAGAATAACAGGATGGGAAGGGACCTTGGAGGTCTTCTAGTCCAACTACCTACTCAAGCAGGAGACCCTATACCATTCATGGAGCATTCACTGCTTCTGGAGGCAGGTTGTTCCACCGGTTAATTGTCAGGAAGTTTCTCCTTAGTTCCAGGTTGCTTCTCTCTTTGATGAGTTTCCATCCGTTGCTTCTTGTCCTGCCTTCTGGTGCTTTGGAGAATAGCTTGACTCCCTCTTCTTTGGGGCAGCCCCTGAGATACTGGAACACTGCTATCATGTGCCTCCTCGCCCTTCTCTTCGTTAGACTAGACATTCCCAATTCCAGCAACCGTTCCTTATATGTTTTAGCCTCCAGTCCCCCGATCATCTTTGTTGCTCTTCTCTGCACTCTTTCTAGAGTCTCAGCATCTTTTTGACATCGTGTTGACCAAAACCGGACGCCGTATTCCAAGTGTGGCCTTACCAAGGCATTATAAAAAGGGCACTAACACTTCAGGTCATCTTGACCACAATCGATGTGAGATATGCTAATGACGCCATTTGCTGGCCCTCCCTACACTGGCCTTGGTTTTACAAAGGTTGGAGAGAAACCACGATGAGCATCCTGGCTTCTCTCCAGCACTTACAAACCAATTCCCTACATCGTGCTCTCCACGCTCTGTTACCCGCCCCCCCCCCCCCGCAGGACAAAGAACGGACAAACCATTTTGCCCAGCAGCTGAGCTGCTTTTCCATCCTGGGTTTACAGCCCCAACCCTGGTTTGCCGTAGTCTTTTGGCAAGTCTGAAGCAGGGCTGGAGAAGCTTCCCTTGAGAAGATCCAGGACCGTCTGACCGTTCGTGGTTGGGGTTTCCTCTACACCCCTTCCATTTCCTTCGTTCTGTCTTGATTCTCACAAGCCCGAGATGAAACAACGATGAGAACCTTCCCAGCTGCCCGGAGAAGAGGGATTTCCCCCCCCCCCCACCAGCTGTTGCCTAGCAACCTCAAACATACACACGGCCGGATTCTGCACAAGGCGCTGGAGGTCCCTGCAAAAGGTTGTGGGCAGCTAAAATTAGACAGCCCCGACTTAAATTCCCAGGCATTTTCAGATCAGACCTGTCCCAAAAGGTAAGCACAGTAAGCCAGATGTTCAGACTGGATTTGGCATTTTTGTCTACCTATCGAGTCCTTCCCAAGGACCTGGGATAGGCAGATGTGGATGTTTGATGGTATTACAGGTATCGTCGCAGGATGGAAGCGGTTCCTAGTCAGGCCGCCTTTTGCAATTGACTCATGGCAAATTTGTCAATGCCGATGATGCTTGTCAATGCCAAGTGGTGCTCCAGTTGTTTTGGGATTGCACCCAAGGCGCCTATGACTATTGGTACCACCCTTGCTTGCCTTTGCCACAGTCTTTCTATTTCTATTTGTAGGTCTTTGTATTTTGTTATGTTCTCCAGTTCTTTATTATTGTTGTTGCTGTTGTTATTATTATTATTTATTATATCAAAAATTCCATTTCTATATTGCACAGTGTGTTGCCTAGGTATAAAAATATGAGAATATAATCATCATCACATTCCTAGTAATCTTATCAAAATACAATCATATACTAACTAGAAAATAGCAATCATATTGTTAAAAATAGTACTTTCCACATTGACATGAATTGTATAACCATCAAAAAATTTACTAATCCACTATAGATCTTCCTCATATAATCCACATTTTCTCATATTTCCAACTTTCTGACCTCTGTTTCTGTCAGCTAACCATTGGTAAAACAAACCCCAATATACACGGGATTTCTTAGTACGGCGTCCAACTTAAAGGGTGCTGAGATTTAATAATAATAATAATGATAAAGTTGGAAGGGACCTTGGAGGTCATCTAGTCCAACCCCCTGCTCAGGCAGGGCCTAGACCATTTCATTTTGCTGAGAAGTCAGAGGGAGGATTCAGATGAGCTTTGCCTCTCAAAAGTGGTCTTTGAACCTCAAGTAGCATCTGTGAAAGGGTTACCCTATTTTATAAGTCTTGGAATACAGCATCCAGTTTTGGTCACCACGATGTAAAAAAGATGCTGAGACTCTAGAAAGAGGGCAGAGAAGAGCAACAAAGATGATTAGGGGACTGGAGGCTAAAACATATAAGGAACGGTTGCTGGAATTGGGCCTGTCTAGTTTAACGAAGAGAAGGACGAGGGGGGACGTGATAGCAGTGTTCCAATATCTCAGGGGCTGCCTCAAAGAAGAGTGAGTCAAGCTACTCTTTCCTTCAGAAGTTGTGGGTGCTCCAACACTGGAGGTTTTGAAGAAGAGACAGGACAGCCCTTTGTCTGAAATGGTACATGGTCTCCTGCTTGAGCAGGGGGTTGGACTAGGTGACCTCCAAGGTCCCTTCCAACTGTTATACTCGATTCTGAGATCCATACTCAAAATAAGGAGGAATTTCCTGACAGAGCAATTAATCAGAGGAACGGATTCCCTCAAGTAGTTGTGGATGCTCCATCACTGGAGGTTTTCAAGAAGAAATTGGACGACCATTTTTCTGGAATGTTCTAAGGTCTCCTGCTTGAGCAGGGGGTCGGACTAGAAGACCTCCGAGGTCCCTACCAACTCTGTTATTCTGCTATGTTGAAGTAGTCCAGTTCGCTTTCTGAATGTTTGAGAGTTCTGGATTTCAAGCGAGAAAGTCGCGAAATGGGGCAGAACTTACTTCACAACTGTCTCGCTTAGCAACCTGAAAACGCTGCTAACATCGGATGTTCTTGCTTTGACAACATAGGGAGATGCAGCCTTTTTCTCTCCTACGCTTCACTCTTAGAATTAGATGATACTGGGGGGAGGAGGAGGAATATAATGGGAGTTAGTTAGACATAACAATTCAGGGGCTTTTGAAATAAGAGATGATAAAGAAATGGTGGGCTGGAAAATGGGAAGGAAAGCCTGCATTTCAAGCTAGTTGGAGAATGTGATTTATGACTGTTACTCAGAGGAGGGAATGGTGCTTTGATACTGTGTGTTTAGGGGAGGGGAATTCAGATTTCGGCTTCGACCATGTATGTGCCGAAGCTATGCCACCTGAATAAAGATTCTTTAAGGTAAACAATTCCTTTAAATACTTTGAAGAGTTTCATTTGTCGGAACCATGACATTGCAGTCATACACCTGTCAGTAAACCATGAAACGGATGGTTTTAAGGCTCTTGGGGTTAGGGAGGACCCACCCTGTCCTTCACGCCTGTCAGAATCAGATCACACTTCCGTCTCCCCTTCCCTTGCAGGGACCCAAACATGGCCTCAGGCCCAAACCAGGCCAACGGTGCCGAAATCAACAACGGCTACCATGTACCCGTGGAAGCCGAGAAGCAAAGTTCGGAGGTGACCCTTCGCCGTCCACCTCCCTCTGTGGATGCTCAATGGAAGGCCGTCTTCCACGAGCACGTCCAGCCGCGGGCCTTGGCTCTGCAGGGCCTCAAGACGGAGAAACTGCAGAAGCAGACGCTGCAGCAGAAGAAGCAGGAGAAGAAAGACCCGCCCGACAGTTTGTCCCAGGATTGGTTCAACACGGAGTCCATGACTCTGGAGACCCGGGCCTATCTCCTTGATAAGCTCCTGCCCACCTTGGTGCCCGCCGTGGAGAAGCTGCTACGGGTGGCCGAACGGAAGCAGGTGCTGGACCTCAAGGAGTCCGAAGCCAGCCCCTTTGACCCGATGATGTTCCTGGGCGAGTACCTCATGAGGCATAACCCGGCCTACGACGTAACCGCCAAGCCGAACCCCTACGTGCGCGGGCTGAAGGCCATCACGGATCAGCTGAAAATGCGAGTGCCCGACACAACGATGCATAAGTGAGTAGGTCCCACGGACGCCAGCCGGTTCAAACAGAAAGCTGGAGTGGCTACTAGGAGAGAATAAGTGTAGCTTAATCTTGAAATGAGGGGTCTTTGGTCGGTCTCTGAGCTGGGTAGTTTTCTTGCAGACGTTTCATGACCCCACTAGGGAACGTCATCAGCGCAAGGAGGAGGAGGAGAATTTTGGGGTCCCTGGTGCTCTCTGAGCTGGGTGGTTTTCTTGCAGACGTTTCATGACGACACTAGGTAACGTCATCAGTGCTAGAAGGGAGGAGGAGGAGGAGGAGGAGGAGGAGGAGGAGAATTGTGGGGTCCCTGGTGCTCTCTGAGCTGGGTGGTTTTCTTGCAGACGTTTCATGACGACACTAGGTAACGTCATCAGCGCTAGAAGGGAACAGGAGGAGGAAGAGGAGGAGGAGGAGGAGGAGGAGGAGGAGGAGGAGGAGGAGGAGGAGGAGGAGGAGGAGGAGGAGGAGGAGAATTATGGGGTCCTTGGTGCTCTCTGAGCTGGGTGGTTTTCTTGCAGACGTTTCATGACCCAACTAGGTAACTTCATCAGTGCTAGAAGGGAGTGGAGTTTGCCCCTGTTTATATACAGTGGCTTGACCTGTCAGTGTCGGTGGGATGATTGGCAGTAAACAACCACCTGTTTGCCATCAAGATATGAAAAAGCATGTTGAGACTCTAGAAAGAATACAGAGAAGAGCATCAAAGAGGATCAGGGGACTGGAGGCTGAAACATACAAGGAAAGGCTGCTGGAATTGGGTATGTCTAGTTTAACAAAGAGAAGGACAAGGGGGGACATGATAGCAGCCTTCCAATATCTCAGGGGCTGCCCCAAAGAAGAGGCAGTCAAGCTATTCTCCAAAGCGCCTGAAGGCAGGACGAGAAGCAACGGGTGGAAACTCACCAAGGAGAGAAGCAACCTAGAACTAAGGAGAAACTTCCTGACAGTGAGAACAATTAACCAGTGGAACAGCCTGCCTCCAGAAGCGGTGAATGCTCCAACACCGGAAGTTTTTAAGAAGAGACTGGACAGCCATTTGTCCGAAATGGTATAGGGTTTCCTGCCTGAACAGGGGGTTGGACCAGATGACCTCCAAGGTCCCTTCCCACCCTGTTATTCTATTACTTGAGTTCTCCTGACTTTAAGAACCCTGACCTAACCACTTTACCCTTGTGTCCCCCAGACTTGCTGAGATGAAGAACTTGGTGGAAGAGAAACGGCATCGTCGGGAGGATGTGGAAAACATCAAAGCTCAAGTCAACCAACTGCGCGAGCAGGCCTTAGCCATGCAGTTCCACGAATGGACCCTGGATGCCTCCGGACAGATACCGCTCGCACTGGTAACTGGGGCCAATGAACCGGGGCGACCACCCCTGGCCAGCAAAGACCCTCCCCATCTATCTGGCCCTCTCTTTTCTCCTTCCTTCACTAGGCAGATCTTTCCTGAAAGCATCTCGAGAGGTTTAGGAGAGGAAGTGGGATTTGGAAGCAAGCAGGATGATGCTTTGGTTTCCTCCGGGGAAAGACCCCGAAGACCCATCAGCTCATTCCACAAACCAGCATCGGAAGCTTAAGCGGACGCTGCTTCCTCTGGCTCTGATTGCTAGACTCAGGGCTCTCCGACCTCGGCAACTTTCCGACTTGTGGACTTCGACTCCCAGAATTCCTGAGCTGGCTGAGGAATTCTGGGAGTCGAAGTCCACAAGTCGTAAAGTGGCCGAGGTCGGAGACCTCTGTACAGTAGTGGCCAAAATTGTGGAAACCTTTTGGGAAAAGTGTCTTTTTGAGGTTTGATGGCTAATAACACCACTTCTTTGGGGGGGAGGAGTACCATAAAATTATATATCAATGGAAAGATAATTTAATCAAGAATGTAATGCAACATAGTGTGTTCTATTATCTGTACTGCATTCTATGAAAAA